CCACCCCCTGCCCATTTGTTTTCAAAATTTCTTTCCTCCAGTTTCTGAGAAAGTGCCTTTGAAAAGGCTCCAAATTTGCAAATAAACCACGATCCATCGAGGATCACGTGAATATACCAGGCCTCAGAAGAGTTATTCGAAGTCTTGGGTAGGTTTGCAGTCAAGGTGAACCGGAAAGGAGGGAAAGGCAAGCAGGATGGAGGGAGCCAGGCCCAGGGGCTCAGCGCCAGATGGAGTGGGTCAGGCATGGGGATCCCGCGGGGTGGAAGGAGCCAGGCCCAAGGACTCAGCGCCTGACAGAGGGAGCCAGGCCTCGGGGATCCCGTGGGGTGGAGGGAGCCAGGCCTTGGAGATCTCCCGGGGTGGAGGACTCAGGCTCCGTATCCCGCCGGGTGGAGGGAGCCAGGCCTCGGGGATCCCGCGGCCGGAAGCTGTCTCGCTCTCCAACTCCCGCCCCTTCCCGTCCTGGCCCAGCTGTGAACAGTAGGTACCTGGAATCGAGCTGCATCTGCTGAGAAGCGTTTCACGTCAAACTTGGCGCCCGCTCCGAGCCGGCGAAAGAGATCATGAACATCCATCTTTGCCCAGAATGCCCCGCGACTCACCGCGCCTTCGTACACGACTTCCTCTGGCTACCGCTTCCGGCCAGGCTATGGGCGGAAGTAGTTCGTGGAGCTGTGCCTGGGTGTAACCCGAGTACAGGACATTTGGTTGAATTGTAAATTCGTTGACAAAATGTCTTATCTTCTTGTGTCAGGAAGTGTTCTAGGCTTTTAGGGCTAGTTCAGTGAACAACACTCCGGTATTAAATAAGGTAACAGATTGGCGGATAAAGTACAGTTAAGCAAATTAAAAGGTATAATTGATAGAGGAATCCGTTGGGTAGCGGCTGTTTTTAGCTAGATTAGTCAAATCCACTCCAGAAATATTTGAACTGAGAAGGGGAAAGTTTTCAAAGACCTAGGAACAACATTCCAGATAAAAGGAACCACTTCTGAAGAAAGGAAAAGATTTGAAACATTGCTAGAACAGAAGCCAGGGTCTGCGTTAATCTCTAGTATTTTGTATTTTGAGACATGGTTTTATGTAGCTCAAGCTGACCTTAAACTCCTTATGTCTCCAAAGATGACCTTAAGCTCCTAACCCTTTGGCCTCCCAAATACTGAGATTACAGGCACCCCACCCAGCTTTGGGACTTTTTACCTGTATGAACTGCCTTTAGAACCCGGTCCCCATAGAAGTGGTGCTAAGCCCATAGCCAAACCCATGAACGTGATGGTGACCACTTTCTGTGTGTGGAAAAGAAGGCCCAAGACCAACTCTTATGGTACTCTAACATGTAATGACCAGATTCAAGAGATGACTGCTTTGCAAGAGTCTCAGAAGAAGCAAGTGAGGTAGGAGACAACCAGTGAAGTCAGAAGCTGGTGAATGTGTCACCAAAGCCAGAAGTTTCAAGAAGGTAGTGATAATCTGTTTCAAAGATGAATGACAAGAGATCACTGTATTTGGCAACATGGAGGTCACCTGCACCCCTGAGAATGTCAATTTTGGTGGCATGCAGGACAGAGATAATTGTGTAGGGAAGGTAGGGCTGTGGAGACTGATGAAGCCAACTCCTTCCAAAGATTCCCTGAGAAGGAAAGCAGGGGAGTGGGTGGTAATAAGAGGCAGATGACTGAGAGAAGGGTTTTGCTTTTTTTGTTTTTAAAGGCAGATATTAGGGGATATTTGTAAATTATATAGAATACTACAGTGGAAAAGCAGCAGTTATTGATGCAACAGAGAAGGGAGAATTATGGGATAGTACGGGATGAAATTTTGATAGGGTCGATTAGAGACTTGATGAGAGAAGAAATGATATGAAATAATCTGAGTGAATGAACTTACGGGATAAAGGCAGACTTTGCTGGCATTTATTGCCAGTTGAAATTTGGGATAATTAAAAGAGAGGCAAATCAGCATGATCCGGCTGCTTGGGTAAGGCTGAAGAAGCTTGTAGTGTTGGTATAGCCAGGGTCAAAGTTTAGCCAGGTAAACACAATGGAGGGTTATGGCCTCCCTCTTCCTCTCCAGTTATAGCCACCTGGTATTGATGGTCCACTAGAGATTTAGCTTCCTAAGAGAAGAGAAAAGGGAACCCCTGTGGATGGCTTTCCTTTTTAGGACTAATATTTGACATTGTATTAATGACCCAACTTGCTTCTCTCAGAGTTCAGGATGGTATTGCACATTGAATTTATGATACATTCTTTACTTTCAAATGCATGGCCTTGGAATTTGGTCTGAATTTACATCTCTCTCAGACTCTCTATCTGTTAGCTATGACCTAATCAAATCCAACCTTTTTGCAACTAATTTCCTCATTTACAAAGTAAATATTAGGATACTTACTTTGGAATTGTGATGGTTGCAAGCTTCAGTATATTGTGGAAGAAGCATAGATTTTGCATGTAAGAGAGACTTACATTGATTGTAGTTGTGTAATTTGGTAATTTGATGATCTTGGCTGGATTGTTCTACCATTCTGCACCTTAGTTTTCTTGTTGGTGAAGTAGGAATTATGGGATTATATGTAATTTCATTGCTAGGGAACTGCAGTCATTCACTAAATAGAGCTCAAAATGGTTGGAATGCACCAGGGGTTATTCTAATGCTTCATGTATATAATATATACATATTCTTTTTTCATTTTGGACATGCATATATCATTTTAATATATAACATATAAGTCATAAAGCATTTAGAAAAAAATTCAAATGAAATAGGTGCTTAATAAATGTGATCCTTTTTTCAGTTCGTCCTCTTGAAGTAAGTACTTCTTTATCCTAACCATATGATAGAGTCTCCCTAGGAAGTTAAAAAAACAGGGCTGGCTCTTGCTTCCTGTACCCACTTGAAGATGTGAGAGCTTAACTTCTGCTGCTCCTGCTCCTGCCACCTCCAGCCACCATGCCTCCCCGCCATGATGGACTGTAATTCCCCATGGAATGGTAAACTCAAACTCTTCCTTTTATAAATTGCTTTGGTCAGTGTTTCTGTCACAGTAACAGAAAAGTGACTAATACAGTAGTGGTACCAGAGAGTGGGCTGTTGGCTGTGAAGAACATGACCATATGGGGTTTTGGAAGAATGTGGAAAACTTTGGAAGTTTGGGCTAGAAAAGCAGTTGTTTGCTGTAAGCAGAGCTTAACAGGCCAGTCTAGTAAATGCCTGGAAGAAAGTATTGTTGAGAACAGTGTAGGTCCAGAGGGAAATAAGGACTTAAGCAGCAACTGGGATATTTTGGCAAAGAGTATGGCTGAAGTCTGCCCACAGCCAAAAAGCTTGCCAGAGGCTAAGTTGAAAAGCCATGGACTAATTTCTCTGACAGAAGAAATTTCAAGACAGCATAACATAGAAATAGTGGCGTGGCTATTAATGGTGAATATGATACAGATTTACAGTGAAAAAGAGCAAATGGAGCAGAAAGAAATACAGACTGTACAGGATGAATTGAAAAAGAGCACTAGGAAGATTAATGTGGGAGCCTTGGCATGTGCTGGAAAGGATCCCTTTGATAAGGAGATTAAAGTGATTAAGGAGGGGCCTACAATGGAGAGAGTACCTCCAGGGCAAGATCACACCCAGTTAAGCCTCCAGCTTATGAAAGGAAAATGCTGCAGGGGCCACTGAAGAGAAAAGCTTCAATGGATAAAGCAGGTTGAGGTCCATCAAAAACTTGCAGTCAAACTTTACAGTATAGTTCACCTAGTGCTGGCTTTATAAGGATGAAAGATGCAAGAGCGAAGGGGTCATCAGTTCTTCCTCTGAGGTTTCAGAGAGCCTTGGAGGCATTCAGCATGCTGCAGGGGTTCCCTTGCATTGAGAAGGTCCTGATAGACCATTGTGTGAAGCTGTGAAGGTGAAGCCTGGTTGGCAATGGAGACCCCCAAGAAGACGCTCATGATGCCAGAGCTGTGAGGCATCTGCCAAGAAGACCTGCATACAGAGAGTGGTACCAGCCCAAGAGAGAGACATGTGTTACATGCAGCAAAGCTAGAGAGGCTGAGCCATCTAAGCCCTTTGAAAGTAAAGTCCCAGAAGTCAGACATGGAGCTACTGGATTTAATGTTTGCCTTGCTGGTTTTTGGTCTTCTTTTGGTCTGGTATTTCCTTACTATCCCTCCATTCCTCCCTTTTGGAATGGTAATGTGTATTCAGTTCCACTGTATCTTGGGAGTATGTAATTTGTCTTTTGATTTTATAGAGGCTTACAGTTAAGATATTTACCTGAGTCTCAGAAGAGACTTTGGACTGTGGACTTTTTTAATAGTATTGAGACTGATTATGACTATGGGGACTTTTAAAGCTGGACTAAATGCATTTTACATTTTATATGGTCATGAGCCTATGGAGGCCAGGAGGTGGAATGTGGTGGTTTGGATGAAAATGTTCCCCATAGGCTCCAAGTAGTTGGACATTTTTGTCCCCAGATGATGGCACTGTTTGGGGAGGTCTTAGAAGGTGTGGCTATCTTGGAGAAAGCATGCCACTGGGGTTGGGCTTAGAGAGTTCTTAAGCCTTGCCAGATCTTCAGTTGCTCTGTACCTGCTTGAAGATGTGAGAGCTTAACTTCTGCTGCTCCTGGTCCAGCCACCTCCAGCCACCATGCCTCCCTGCCATGATGGACTGTAATTCCCCTGGAACTGTAAGCTCAAATAAACTCTTCCTTTTATTAAAAAACAAAACAAAACAAACAAAAAAAAAAACAAAAACAAAACAGGACTGGGTACCATCCCCAGAAATTTTAGCTTAATTGTTTTAGAAAAGCCTCTTGGCAAAGTATTTTGGAAAGCTTCTCCAGAGAGTCTGATTGCAGTTAAGGGTCAGTGCTAGGGTTCTATTTCTAAGGTCCAAGTGGGGCCAAGCTGCCTCTCTGCTTCTTTGATTTCCTGATCCCCTACTGTCTGCTGAATGAGAACTGAGTCCTTATAACTTACTTGATAGCAGTGGTTCTCAACCTTTTTTTTCCTGCTTCAACACTCAAGATCACAGCACTCCTATAAACAGCTTCAGCTTGGGGCCAGCTCTCAGCTGAACTTGGGCAAGGTGCTTATCTTGGCCAAGCTTCCATTTTTTCATGTCATTTCAGTTATGCTTCTAAACCTGAACCTTTACAAACACTCTTCTTTCATCTCAGAAGGTCCTCTCCCCGCTTTCTCCCTGGGTAGCTCCTTATTCTTGGAAAATCAATTCACATAGTCTCTCTTTGTGAAGTGACACAATACACCTTCTTTATGCCTTATACCACTTTGTAAGTCCCTCTATTTTAGCTCTTTTTCTATTGCATTGCAAGGTACATTTCCACATTGATCCATAGACTTTAAACACAGTTTTTGAGAGTTGGGGTGACACATAATTTCTTTTTTTTAAAAAATATTATTGTGTGTGTGTGTGTGTGTGTGTGTGTGTATGAGTATGAGTGTATTGCCTGCATGCATGTAAGTGCACCTGTGTTGTGCAGTGCCCAAGGATGTCAGAAGAGGGCATTGGATCCCCCTGGAACTGGAGTTACAGATAGTTGTTAGCTGCCATGTGGGTGCTGGGGATCGAACCCAGGTTCTGTGAAAGAGCAACCAGTGCTGTTAACTGCTGAGTGATCTCTCCAGCCCCATCATTTCT